ATACCTCTTCACGTTTTCCCCACTTCCACACCTGAAATGTTTTCCTTTATAATCTCCCAAATGCCTCAAGGTTTCTCCAAGCATTTATCAATGAAAAGTAATTTCATACTTTGAGTTTTTTTTTCCTATTAAGTTTATTTAATTTGTAATTCAATAGCTTTCTTGATTTTTAGTTTTCGCTAACATGGAGAGAGCTAATTATCAAGACAATATCCATAATTATATTTTACCCATAACCATTGGATGATCTTGTGAATATGTTAGCTCTTAAGGGTCTAATATTCATTCTAATGTAACTCATCAGGAAATAACTAAAACATAAAAATAAAGCTAGTCTCATTGTCTCAGCACCATTTTGTAAAACTTGTCTTTCACTGTGTTAGATATTTTCCGATCATACAAAACACTCTTGTATCAATTTCTATTTCAATCTCCCTATAGCATGCTATTCTTTTAAAACACCGAGCCTAGATCTCTGAATTCTCAGCATATAGACACAACAATTCCGTCTAATTTCACTTCACTCTCATCATTATTATAGAGCCTATGCTTGCAGTGCATATGTTCTCGCTTACAGCCTGGTACTACTAAGTTCCACCTTCTAATTGACCAGTAGCAAGTAATTGTCAATTTAACAGTATGTACAGATGTGATTTTCTCACTATGCAGGGGATGACTTCCACACTAACAAATTTGGAAGTTGCAGTAGAAAGGAGGAATCCAAAGCTTTAGCATTCACAGTCCATGAGCATAAATAAATTCAGAGGACTAATAAATTGCAATCTTTTATTCTGTGTTTCCTTTTTGGTGGAAAGAATTGTTCTATTGAAGATTAATAATTACATTACAGCTACTAATTCTTTTCTTGACGTAAGAATCACCCTCCCACTAACTAGGTAATTAAAGTGGTGACAGAGTCATCTTTGTAAATCTTGGGTACTCTCCAAGTGAATGAAAGACACAATTCTTAGGAAATGGCGGTACATTTTCAGACAAAAGGACGATACTATTTGAAGGCCTGTTTTCGAACACCTAGCGTGACTACTTGACAAACATCTGGCTACTCTTTCACAGATTATAAGTTGCAGTGATGAGAAGATTACTGGTTTTAGTGATTAATTATCAATGCACTTCACGGAGGGTAAGTACTGAAGTATCACACCATAAGGGAAAGACTGCCACATCAATAAATTTTGAAGTTGTAGGAAAAGAAGTATATGAAGCTTTAACATTTTCAGACAACTCAAGGTTATATTTGGAATGATTATTACTCCATCTTTCTGTAGTGTTGCTGTCTCTTCTAACATATCGGATTAAGCTACATAGCTCAAGCCAATTGATCACCAATGACAATGTAGTGATAATACCAGACACAAATCTCCTTCCTAAATATCCCCTCAGAATTTTCCCTTTTGGTATAATTGTTGTTTTTTAATTCCAAAGATTACCTGCTATCTCCCACCATAGGTACCGAGTAAACTATGTCCACCAAAGCCCGGACAAATAAGAAGAAATCACCAAGCAGTTTTGCCCCCTCAGTGATTTGAACTTATGACCTCATGATTTTCAACCCACTACATTCAACCCACACCCTTGGGTGCCTACTTTGATAATATTTCTAAGACAATAATTTAGTTTTGACCATAAGGGAACATTCACTAACCTCATCAAACCTAATCAGGGTGACAAACAAGCGAATATCTGCTTCAGTCACTTGATCTCCACATATGTATCTCTGCTTGCTCAGTATCTCCTCACATTTGTCCAAAGCTTTGTATACTTTTTGCACAGCCTGCAAGGACAAAAAGGTAATCACTTTTCCTCAGATAGAACTGATTGAAGTTCTATAAGGTTTAAGATGTTTAGCAAACGGCTTCGAGTTCTGTTGTCTATTTCTGATTACCTCATCATAAGGCTCTTGCTTCTTTGCAAAACCACATTGATACACTCCGTTGTTTATTCCATCATATATCCATTCATTTGCTTCATTGATTAGGGATTGCAAATGAGGAGGATAAAGGTCCAAAGCTGCATTCTCAGCTATATCATTAAATTCACTATTAAACATGCGTATTATTTCTGCACTCTCGTTGTTCACGATTGTCTTCAGTTTCTTATCCCAAAGAACCTATAACAAAAACCAGACCATCAATCAATAAAAATATGAACAGACCAAGCAAATAAATGTTATTAGAGATTCTATTTATTGATAAACAATACCGGAACAGTGTATTTCCCAGAATAGTTTGTACTTGCAAGCTCATACAGCTCCCGTATGCTTTTGGCTCCATTAAGAGGATCAAGATCAGCTCCTGCTTCCTCGGTGCTTGATGAAGCAAAAACCCATCCCGTGTGCTCATCGCTGTCCTTCGTCCTCTCCCAAACAGGTTTAACAGACTGCAAGCCAACACAACGGAAACAGATTGTTAGGAGTCCAAACTTGAGTCCAAGATACAAGTAGTTCATTCAACTTCTTACTGTGAAATCAATGGCTTGATCAAGGCCTTTAATCTTCAAGTAAGCCAGGCACCTTGATGCCCATGGGCAAGCATATGATATGTAGAGGTGGTACCTCCCAGATTCGACTGGAAAAACTGAGCCGGGTTCCCTTGAGACTATATTACGGAAGGTTGAAGCAGTTCTCTCAAAAGCACCTGTTGCTGACATCTCATCCAGAGCGGAACGAGCCATTCGTATACTTTGCTGGAAACAACCAGTAAGTGCAGAATGTTAGTATAACCTTTCATCCTCTTTTACCAGAAGCCTAAATGAACATGATACTGCATCTAAAGAAGATGACATTTTTTCAACAAAGCACATGATACGTTCACTAAAATATTCAGATAAAATGTAAATGACGCAGTCAATATATCCAATTGAATAACACTAACATATGCTCCATGTTCCTGTTTGTACAGAGAAATATACCTACTCTGCAGAAAATAGACAATACAGTCTCCGCTTCGGTACATTAGTTACAGCATTGCTTGTTGTATTTATCTTTTCCGTTTAGTGAAATTCCTTCTCATTCTTGCACAGACACAATTCATAGTTCATCACATGAACTTACAATCTCGCAAAACACAATAAATTCAGAATCCCATCCCCTTTCTTATCCTTTTCTCTTTATGAGACGCTGCTCAAATTGCTGAAAAGGGGCACCAAGAAATTCGAATTGATTTCTCAAATGGTCACTCAACTAATAATTGTTATCGCAGAAAGTCACTTTCTTAGATAATAACTATAACTATTAGTAATTGAGTGACCATCTAAGCAATCAACCTAAGAAACTCAAAAACAGTAAACCCTTTCAGACTCTTAACAAAATAAACAATCAGCTAAAGCTCTGAACCAAAATGGGAAATCTTAGTAGCTCAGTTGATTGACTACCTCAACTTCCTCCTCGAGAGTTCGACTCCCCATTTCTCCTTCCCCTACACACATTTTTTTTCAAAGTAACACAATCACAAGTTATACAAAAGAACATAAAAATCACTTCTTTTTTCCATTTTCTTGATCACCATACAAACATATCTTAGACTAGTAAACCACAAACTCAAGAATTCCTTTAAGATCATAAATTAGCCATCTTGTATAAAAAGTTTCAAAAATCACAAAACCCTCAAACACAGAGAAGAAAAGCAGAAACACCCGCTTCCCCCATAACTCCAATCAACATATAGAAGTGCATATAAACACATCTACCCCATATGGGGTACCTGGAAAAATGATTAAGAACTGAAATTAAAGTTGTTTACCTTGAAAGAAGGCTGTTGAAATACAAAAGTGTGCCTCAGTGTTTGTAGTTGGATTGTTCTGTTTACAAAAGGAAAATTCATACTTATATATAGATGAAAAATGATCAAATAAAAATTGCAAAGTGGTACCTGTTAGTCTATTTTATTGCTAATTATTGTTGATACTATGAATCTTGAAAACTGGCACCTTTAGTCATGATCTTGTCCCTATACATTCATAGAGAGTAAGTGGGAAAATTTTATGTTGGTTTGTCCTTTTTCTCTTGGTTGGTGACATAAGTTGTAGTACTTTTATTTTATGGACATTTTTTCATTTTTTAAGAGTCAAATAATTTAATTTTGATCGGATATTTAAGTATGGATTTTTCAAATTTTTTGAAATGAAATTTTGTAAATTATGTAAAGAGTATTATAAGTCACAATAAGTAATAATTCAAAATATTAAAAGAAAATTTAAGAAAAAATTATGATTAAAATTTACTTATTTGAATTTCGAAATACAAAAAGTGTTACGTGATGGTAGATTGTGGATCAAAATTTAAAATATCATCTATAAATATATGCTTGGTCATAAAATTTTGATCAGATTTTAAAATTTTGTCTTAGAAAATTTTCTACTTGATTTCTCATTTAGTGTGTATGAGAATCTGATTAAATTTAAATTTGTATCAAAAAATCTCACGTCGATCGTAAAATGTTTTGTAATAAATATGACTTCCTATTTAAGGGCTCAAATCTATAATCTCTCTTGAAGGGTATTATTTTGGGAAGTAATTTAATCATCTTTGACTAATTTTCAAGAATGAGTAGACTTGACTAGAAGGTTTTATTAGGAGTACTTTTAGTAAAAGATAATTGATTTCTTAGTAAACTTGGAAATCATAAATATATTTCTTTGTTTATTGAGTTTGGTCAAATTTGATGGCAAATTTAGTTGGTGATAAATAAAAAAATAATGATGTGTGGCAAATGAATGATGACATAATGGAATATGTATTAAGTCTAGACAAAAGTTATAAAATACCAAAGTTCTATTTTTGCTTTATATGACACTTATTACATCATTAGTGACCACATGCTTTGTTTGATTACCATCCTAAAAATATTTTGGTAGCTTCCACATAACGCCTTGTTATTTCGATCCTAACAATATTCGCCAGAGTGAAGGTCAAAGATCAAGCCTCCTCACGTCGAAAAAGTGATACATGGTGTTCTTAACAGTACCAAAAAGGAAGAATGAAATGAATAAAGAACAAAACGAATACAGCAACATTCATAAGGCAATGTAATGATACCTTTTATATACACTTCAAGTACCCTTGGCTAACAATTTTCCCAGTATAACGATTGAGAGGCTCAACTAGTTTTGATTTTTTTCATTTACTACATACAAATTGATGGTCACCAGTCTTGGTAAAAATGCTTGTTCACAAACTCGGTGAGAGACGGAGAAAGAACTTATGGTTGGAATGTGGAAATCCTTGGTAATGTCCAATCTCAAGAACCTGCAATGACAACACCAGAGGACTTTCTCTAACCATGATCTCGCGGAAGAGGTTTATACATCAAAATTTAAATGAACGAGAAACCAAAACCACAATCTGTACAAGCAGCTAAACTGTCCTGGATCTCCTTCCATTACATATGGCTTGACAGCTCCATAGTGAGCTAGCCAACATCTTCGTACGTTAAAAAGAAGGGAAAAACTAAGGTGATTGCTGTTTACTGTCAAATAACTGCTCCCTCTCAATCTCTCCTGCAGTATAATAGCTTTTTGACAACTTTTGTCCACATCTCTCAATCTTGTCTGAACAATGATTGTGAATATCAAAGGAAAAGAAAGATACCTGATTTTCCTACTGTGAACATTTCTGTAATTGTCAACTTCCTTTTAATATCAGGGGAGGTTTATAAGAGCTTCTCTTTCAAGCACGTCATTGCTGTAAAGAATTACATTCAACAACTTGCCTGGAAAAGAATCTTCCTCAGCTAGGCCATCTGCGTCAACACAAGATCTACAAGATAAAAAGAAATACACACGACAAATTAGATTAAGACTGTTGGAGCTGGGTTTCATTTCTTTTAGCACATTCCAGTTGGGCCAAAATTGCAGCAGCATGGTATGTCCCACTTCTCTACATTTTATTGTTTACTATACAAGTTGGAGTATTCAGTATTAAGACTAACTTATTTTTTATCAACTGATTTTACTCTTCATTCTCTTCAAATTGACCTAAAAATTTAGCAGACACTGCATGAAGCCATTTCAATTGTACGTCTGTCAAGTTCAAACTAGGCAAAGGAGAAACAAAATGGTAAACGTCCCGGCACCAACACTCTAAATGAAAAACCGAGTGTAAAACTTGGCGAAGATAGTTCCACATATTACTTTCAGATCTGATCCAGTGTTCTCACATCTTATCATACTGCTCACACTGTCTTGGTGTTTTCAGTTTTTCCAAGGAACTGTTTTAATATGTAGCAGTAAATATTCAGCACCATCTTAGTGCTTCCCTCATTTTAATGAAATGTTACTACTGATAAGAGAAAAACATAGTTTAACCTAACTAACTATGGCTTATCTTGAAAAAAACAAAAACACGATTTCAGGAATATCAAATCGACTTAAGGGAAACAACACCAGATCCAACAGTGTACACTGCAGAAGAGGGTCCTCTACAATCTACATTAGAGTAACAAAATTATTAACATGACAATGCATAAGAAGGAAGAGCAGAGGTCACCATACCACAGGCAGCTAGTTTCCACATAGTCCAACAATATAGACTTCTGAGAAAGCTACGCGCTTCTGTTCAAACCAGGAAATTAACCCAGTGCTTGCTTCTTACTTTTGGCATTACCCAAATCAAGAAGTAGTGTGAGGGGACAGCTTTAATGCTCAATCTGCAAATATCAGAATGGCTGAGCTACATGTACTGAAGATAAAAAAACTAAAGTGTTTAAAATGCCAAAGTAAAAGTGAAGATAGGAAAGGTTAAATCCCAATGTCATATTAAAAAGGTGAAAATGTTTTCTCCTGTATTTCTTTTCATAAAGCATGCTCAATTAGAGTGAACACAGAACAGCACAAGCTTGCTCAAAAATCAGACTTCTTTTAGTCCCTCCACCAAAATGACTTGGCATCCTTTCTAAATCAGTTAGTCCCAAATTACTTGACATCATTCTGTCAATGACTCAAACACCAAATCTCCACAAAGTCGAGCTGATATAGACTAATATCCCTCTGTCCTGAATGAATAACGTGACATGAAATAGGAGAGTCAACCGCCAAATATTCAAATGAATTTTCCATTTTTACGAACTAAAGATAGCATATGGAAAACCTAAATGAACTATAAGTTTATATAGCTATAAAATCACACTCATTTAGATAATAGAAGAACTCATATTGTATAAAGAAATAAAAAACTACTTTTACTATATTGGTTCGAATTTTCATTTGACATTTTCCCAGAAAACTACATGTTTATACAGGTGAACTCTAATCACTAGTACATATATTCACGCAACTGAAAAATAGCAATATGTTAAAAAAATCTATTTCTCCAAAACATAGTGACAATGAAGTTAGATTATCAAATTGGACAATAGATGAGTAGAGCATAATTTTAGTTTTCTTTTAAGTTTCCATTGGGAAGATGATCCCACTAAGTAGTGTTCTGAAATTCCCATAAGAAACAAAAGCATTTGAAGCTTTATCAACAATTAGCAAAAGAAACCTACCAGTATCTTTTCTATCACAATAGCTTAGGAGAATAATTATTCAAGTAACCCAATTTAAAAGATAGAAATGGTAACTAGAAGAATCAAGGAACTAAAATAATACCACATGATGGATGGTGGAAGGATCTTTTCATTATAGGCTTTTCTAAATTCTTGCTGTTGTGTTGATTAAATCTAATCTGATATGGATTAGTGCAGAAAATTGATCCTCATTTATGGGAATTACAGAGAGATTCTAACCTTAAAGAGAATAAAGCAATCATTTTAACTTGCTACTTGCACACCTGCCAAATAGCCTTTTGGTTTGTTGTTCAGTAAATCACAAGGTCACTCTGCCGTAGATTCTCCTGGGTAAGTGAAAATCAAAATTAACATGCTGAATGTAAACAAAACCAATTCAAAATAAAAGTTTTAGCATGAAAAAGGGCCAAAACAATTGCAATACCAACGAAAAGAGAGCAAGTAATTTGGCACCCGCATAAAGCAAGGCAGCCCAAGAATATGGACAGCAAAACAAGTGAAATAAAAGCATACGGGTCTTACCAAAATCTTTTGTTATCCTCTCGTTCATACTGGAGACAAGGTCATATTTATTGCTTTCATAGCACGCCGACATAAACGCTGCAAGAGTTACTCGATCCACACTCTGCTGTTTGTCTAGCAGTTTATGGAAAAACAGAGCAGCTACATTCACATTCTTTTCACTGCAAAGCTTCCTGACTAAGGTAGATACGGTTCGAACCCAAAGTTTTTTTTCTAATTTATCTAAGAGGCCCATTGTGATGGTTGGTTCATTGTTCTTGCAATACTCATAAGCTACAGTCAGCCGTGTAACTTCACATGGGGGAATCCCTTTATCAACCATTGAATTGTAAAGATCTCTAGCCTCATCCAACTTTGACTCCTTACAAAGCCCACTAATCAAAGCACCATAAGTGAGGCTATCAGGTACACAACCATATTCTCCCATCCTCTGGAAGTACTTCTTGGCCATGGCCACATTTTTATCTCTACAATATCCACATATCATGGAAGTACAAGTCTCTTTGGTAGGTATCAAACCTAAAATTACAGCATCATCAAAGAGCTTTTCACTGTCTTTCATTTTCTTTTGCCTACACAAGGCAGCAATTAATGTGGTGTATGTATGCATATCAGGGCCAATACCAGCTTTAACCATCTTACTGAAAAGAGCAAAGGCTTGTCCATTATCTCCTAGTTTGCAGCTCTGAGACATTAGAATGGTGTAAGTCACTAAATCTGGCGAAATTCCAATTTGCATACCTTTCTTCAGCATCTGATAAGCCTCCTGAACCCTACCCTTTTTACACAGGCCATCAATGACTGCGTTATACGTAAAAATGCTTGGTGCCAAGCCTTTTTCATCCATCACACGCAATAATTTATAAGCAACATCAAAGTTTCCAACTTTACAGTACCCATCAATGAGAGCAGTGTAGGTGTTGGCATTAGGGACCAACTCTTGTTCTTGCATTCTGCTCAGTAGCATTTCTGCACGATTCAATTTTTCCTGTTTGCAGTATCCAGCTATCATGGCTGTATATGTATGCACATTAGGCTTGTAATTGTCACTCTTCACAAGTTTTAGGAAAAGTCTAAAAGCCTTATCCATCCAGCCTTTCTTACAAAGACCATCAATCAATGCAGTATGAGTGAAAACATTTGGTTTCAAACCTTTTCTAACCATTTCCTCTAACAACTCGAATGCATGCTTAATAATGCCTTTCTTACACAATCCATTTATCAAACACGTATAATTGATAACATTTGGAGCCAACCCCAATTCAATCAGTTTATTAAAAATCCACAACACTCTATTAATAGACCCCTTTTCACAGAAAACACTCAATATTAAAGTGCAAGTCGCATTATCAACAAGAAACCCCCTTTCGAGCATTGCACTCAGCCACCTATCAGCCTCTACAACTCTTCCCATTCTACAATAAGCAACAACCATAGACTCGAAACAAAATGAATCAGGACAGACCCCTCTGTCACACATTTCACCAAACACCTTCTCTGCCATCTCAACATGTCCCATCTCAGTAACAACACTAACAACAGAATTCAAACTCCCAGCATTCAAAACCAAACCTTGATTTTGCATCTCAAAAACCATATCTACAGCCTCCTTTAACATACCAACTTCACAAAAATTCCTCAACATACAATGCATCACTTCATGGGTTCTCTCAAAGTTGCCATTTTTAATCAAATAAATAGCTAAAACAATATAAAGCCTCATAAAATGCCTGAATTTCACATACCCAATTGCCCAATAAAAAAAACTCAATGCCAGCATGGACCCTCCCTCATCTGCAAGAGAAGCAACAACAGTTATAGCCTGTTCTTGAGTCAAACACTCAGAATCAATCGGCAATTTCAACTTGGGATGTCTAGATTTGAAATGGGTATTTTCTTGAACTTTACAGTATGATTCAGATACTAAAGAACAGACCCTTCTGACAACTGAATCAAAATCAGAAGACAATGGGTTTGTTGTAAAAGAATGAAATTGGGTATAGCGCCAAAAGGGGTTGCTATTAAAGTTGAAGAAATGGTGAGGATAGGAGAAAAGGAGGCCATTGAGGAGTGTAGTAGAAGCTGTAAAATGGTGAAGTCTGTAGAGACGATGAAATGCAAAGGAAATCATGAAAAATGCTTTGCTTTCAAATTTCAATAGCACAAATTAGATGTTGCAAGGTTCACTTCGCGCTGAGCATGCGCCCAAAATCGAGGACACAACAGGGCACGATACATAACCACTGTTTGGATTTATAACTTTTTTTTTTTCGAGTTTTTGACTTAAAAACATTCTTAAATTATGTGTAAAATTTAAATTGCATCATTAAATTATACCTTTTAAACAACAACAAAAAAAAAGACTAGTCCTCCAAATATTTAAAACTTAATAACTTTCATCCCTTTATTAAAATTTGTCCAAAAAAATTAGCAAATTCACACAAAATATATGCAATTCATATTATGCTCATAAAAAATATATAATCTTATTACCGGTTGAAAAAATCATCCAAATCATTAAAAAAATGAGACTTCCGATTGTTGTTAAAAGAAACAATGTTAAGACAGTGGTAAGCCTACGAGGAGACATGATCTGCTCTTCTCCTTTAATTTACCAACTAAATGGAGTTGGAGCTTAATTTCATACAATCTTCACTTTGCTAAGTGAAAATGTAGTTAGAACAATAACTTTTTGGGGGAAAATTGATAATTGAGGTGATCAATATTCAAATAATTTTTGATCTATAGTACTCAAACTTCGTTTTTCATTATTAAAAGTGAAAATCTTCGAATGACACCGCTTGTTGCAATGAAAAACAAAACATTTTCATTGATAATTATTTGATATCAAATTAAATGAAAAGTAAAAAAAAAATAAAATTGCTTATTAAAGAAAGACAATGCAAAATGTTGTTACTAAAAAAATTATAATATTATTTTAGATGCAGGTAGAATAAACAAAATTTATTTGTTTGGGGTGATTTAGAGTGTTTAATTTGTGGAGAGTAGTGTGAACCATACATGATATTGTGAAGAACTTATTAAATTTTAACAAAAGGATAAAAGTTGCCAAATTTTGAATAATTGAGGAATGTCTTTTTTGTTAACTAAGAAAAATAATTTAAGGATGTAGTTTAAGTTAAGGGTATAGTTTAAGGATGTTTTTGGCCAATACTTCATTTTTACGATTGTTTAATACCCACATTGGAGCTTGATTAAATATGAATTCGTGATGAAAAGTTTCATATTGAAGGTAAAACACTAATGAATGAGTATTTACCGCTTTATCATATCTCTTGATGGTTGTTTGGATGATTTTTACGTAATGTTTCATACTATGTTGTGTTGTATTGTACTGTAGGTATAACATAAAGTAACGAACGCATAATTTTCATTAAAGAATGTCAATGCTTATAGTAAAAATGATGGTTGTTTGGATGATTGTTATGTATTGTTTTATAATATATTATAGATATACATGCATTGGTTGAATTGTATTGTAGGTATAATATGCAGTGGCAAGATTTTCATTAAGGGGTGACCTTGAACACACCAATAGACAAAACATTGAATTTGTTTCAAAAGTTGTCAATTTATGTATTTATATTTATTAAACTAAGATTATACCACTATATACAATGTAATTTTTCGACAAAGGGGTGTCGCTCAACATCCCTTGACCAAGTATATGTCCGCCAATATTATTTTAATGAATATAACATTTGAATAGATTATATCATTTTTATTATATAATGATGAAACATTCTATTGTTATCTAACGATAAATTTAACCGACACAATATACTAATAATCAAAACATGCATGATAATAAGTGTCACATTATAAATTCAACACAAAATTAGTATTATATTTTTGTTACTATATCCTTATACTCTGTCTATTTAATAATACTGATTTGACATGCATGATTTTGACTAGGTAATACTTATTTTGGTTAGAAAAGAAATTATTCTCTTGACTATCACATAATTTTCGGATTAATTGATTTACTTTTTTATTAAAAACATTTTTTGCTTATAATTTTTCTTTACGCATTTGGAGAAAAAAAACTAATACTAACACTTATTTCTAGAGGGTCGAGACTTTTTTTTATTTCTTTTACAATTTAGACAACTGGACCTCATGATCTCACATCAAACCTCAATATAATCTCTTTAATTATGTGTGGTTAAATTTCTATTTGATTATCTATAGAATGTACTTTAATGAAATATGATTTTTTGACTTTTAATTTAAAATGTTATTTTGTATCTAATATATAGAGGGACATGAAATAACTCGAGTGATAAAGACTATCATATAATTTAGATATGTAATTATTAATATCAAAATAGTTTAGATGTAATTTTTCATATCCCAAAATCAAATCATATCTAACTTTTAGCTTCTTAGATGTGTGATATTCTTTTGGGTTGGGCTGGACAAAGCGCAATATATGTAATCTTACAAATATGATCGCTTCTAAATCGATTTCAAGCATTCATAATTGAAATTTCGAAAATTTGTGTATGAAGTTTAATAACAAGAAATTTCAATATTTTTGCATAAAATTATAAAATTATAAACATAGGAAAATTAAGAGAAAAGACATAAAAACACCATCGAAGTTGTCCCATATTTGCAAAAAGACACCTAAACTTTTAAAGTGTTTCTATCACACTACTAAACAACTATATATCATTGTAAATTGATCATTTTTACTCATTCCATCGTCTATGTAATGCGCGTGTTGCTCACTCTCTAGGTAACCCGATCCGATCCTTTTTTTTTTTTTGAAGAAAATTCGTGAACTCCTTTTCATTTCATTTCTCAACTCTTCCCTAAAAAACCAAACGAAATACACAGTGTTGCTGTTGACGATAGTGTTGTTGTTGACAATCTCGTTGTTGATCATTGTTGATCGTTGTTGATGTGTATTTGTGAAGATTCTTGGAGATTGAAGGTCTAACTTGTTAGGGTTCTAACACTTCACTTTTTTTTTCGATTATTCTGATTTTATGGATTATTATAGTGTAGAAGTGTTAGAATCGACCTCCTACAGTTGCCATTGTTACAAATATGATTCAACATTGCATTTGACATTTTCAATCAAAAACTAACCACAAAATTGAGAAGAAATTCAACCATAAAAAAACTTCAAATTAACGTTTCTACTGGAAATTAAAAGAGAAAAGACGAATTCCTACCTTATTTTCTTGAGAAAGATGATGAAGTCGTCAAAAAGAGAGCACCAATATTGTTCTTGCCATGGAAATCAAAATTTTAGGGCTACCAACGGCTATTTTTGAGTTTAAATTGGGGAAGATACAAAAATTGATTAAATAATTAATATTAAAGAATGAAAATGATATATGACTATTTTAAACTGGTAAATAAAAAGAAAAAAATGGCCCATGACGCGCCTAACGTGCGTGTAAACAACCCATATGAGCTAATGGGTAAAAATGGTCAATTTACAACGATATATAGTTATTTAGTGGGGTGATAGGACACTTCAAATGTTTAGGTGTCTTTATGCAAATATGAGACAACTTCGATAGTGTCTTTATTTCTTTTCTCAAAAATTAAATACCTAAACTTTAGTCCTACACACTTTTGACATAAATATGTAAAGTTAAGTTTGTCTTTGTATTATAGTAGTAATAAGTTAGTCAACAACTTACAAAATTTTGTTATATTAATCATAATATATATCAAAACTTTGCACGTGAATTTTGAAAATTTTATGTTCGATTATATACATTGTATGAGTTAAAATAGTAGGAGTTATTATTAAGTCACCCAATTTATTAGGTATTGATTTGTGAATAAATAATACATTGATTCCTTAGATTAATATTTACTAATTGGCCATCTTATCCACACCACCTAAGATTCTTATTAATTTCATTTTATTTTTTTTTGGATAGAAGAGTTGGTAAATAATTTAGCCAAAAAGCTATATAAAAGTAACATCTTTTTTTCTGATTGTGATTTGTGACAATTATAGAATATTTTAATTTTTAGGAGGGGTGGACAAATATCTGGTCCTGTGAAGATTTAGGTTTGTTAGTGTCTGATATAATATTAGTCGTATTTTTGTAGTTCTTCTTATTTGTTGTTATTGTGTTTTTGATAATCACATTATTTTATTGTTTGTTATTGTATATTTTTGTAGACCACTTTTCTTATTAATAGTTGTGCTTTTTTCATTGTTTTCCTCTTTTTTTCTTGATTTTGATGCACAATCAATAGTCTTTCGAAAATATCCTATCTACATATGTGTAGTATTATTTGTTCTAATTTTATTCACGATGTTAATTAATTGCTTCACATTCTTATAATTTTAGGATTTTGTGACATATAAATGATGGAATATTTTATTAGATACCTAGCTAGAACTATTGTTGTACGCATATAATATTAATGAGTTCGAAGTCAAAAGGGTAAAAAATTGTTAAAAATTTTAAAATGGTATATTAATTTTTTTTACCAAAACGGCAAAATCGCTCACGATGTAGCGAGTTCATACGTCGAAAAAAGTAAAATCGCTCCTGTAGAAGCGATTTCTTAAATTTCCTTTTTTTTTAAAAGAAAATAATTAAACAAGTCCCTCCAAGTGGAATGATTTCCAAATTAAAAGAAATACAATTTTTTAATAAGTAGCAGCGACTTACATTAAAAAAAAATTTTTGCTTTATTTTTAAAAAATTAAAATCAAATCTTGGCAAAATCGCTAAGGCAATCATTTTTAATTAATTATTTTTTATTATTTTTTTAAAATTGCAGCGATTTTTACACTTAATTTTTTTTGGAAACTTAATTTAATTGGCTAATTTTTTTTTTGCAGCGATTTAATTAAATTTTCAAAAAAAATAAATAAATAAATAAAGTGTAAATCGCTGCCTTTACAGCGATTTGATTTTTTTTTTTAAAAAAAACTAATTAAAAATCACTGCCAATGATTTTAAAAAATTAAAAAAAAATTATTCAACTTTTTTTTTAAAAAATAAATCAAAAAATAAAAATAAAATTAAAAAATATTATTTTTTTTATTTTGAAAATCGCTCCATTTGGAGCAATTTGTTCAATTTTTTATTTAAAAAAAAGCAAATTTAAGAAATCGCTGCTATTGCAGCGATTTTGCTTTTTCAGACGGTCAAAGTCGCTACATCGTGAGCAATTTTACCGTTTTGGTTTTTAAAAAAATTGATATGCCCTTTTGAAATTTTTGATAATTTTTTTTTACCTTTTTAACTCCGCACTCTAATATTAATTGTTCTTATTTTATTCATGAAGTTAATTGCATCACATTCTTAGAAGTTAATTATGATTATATCCCAATAGAAGAAAACAAAAAAATGGTTTAACCATCAAGTTAGTAGTATTTTCCTTCTATTTATAAATATTTTACGACCTTAAATTTTATGTGCTGGTATTATAAAGATTATTTATGCCATCAATGTAATTAACTTAAAAGGTAGTCACAAGTAATTACAATTGACTTAATAATGACAGAATTATATATTTATGGCACGTCATTACTTTATACTACTTACAAAAACGTGTGTGGTGTAGGGATTTAATTTTTGTTTGCAAATTTATTGTTTAAATGGTAATAGTAAATCATATGAAATCGTCTTATTAACGGTAAAATAAATAATTGATAAATATTATTAATATGTATTTTGATTTAATAATTTTAAATTTTTACTTTGAAATAAATATATATATCTGTGTGGTGTACATAGTAAATCATCTTTATCTTTTTACATGTAGAGGTCCATCAATATCTATTATTAAAATATTTTTTATTATTGATCATTGGCTTTTTGCTAATATTCAAATAATAAAGCTATAACTAAAACAAAAATTGTACATTACTTATAAATTAAAATAGAACCAAAAAATTGTGAAAATATCATTATTTGATATGAAGTAGACATGCCAACGTAGACGTTGCACTTCTTCAACTTGAACATAATAAGAGAAAGAATGTACATAAAAGTGTATTCATGTGTGTGAAATTATACACAATATTTTGGGGTGTATAAAGAATGAAGTCTAAATCAATCTCTATTATCAATACGGAAAATGATCAAAAATATCATTGAACTATAAGAATAGGTCTAAAATACTCTTCGTTCATTTTTTTGTCTAAAAATATCCTTCTATTCATCAATCTCTATTTTGTGTCATTTTCTTATTGAATGAAATAAAAATTCAACTTTATTAATTTTTTTCCATAATTTATTCAAATCAAAACAATATATCTTTTCAAGATCTAAAAAAATATATTTTTTAAATCTAGCAATTTCTTTTTTTCCAAAAAAAATTGGTTTAGATAATTAAATTTTTAAAAAAAATATAAGTCAATTTTAGGATTTAGATTAATATATTATGTCCCGGTAATCGTGGCATGACTAATGTTTTTTTAAAAAAAATTAATTATCTAAAGCAATTTTTTTAGAAAAAAGCTATAGAAAATAGAAATTACTAAATTTAAAAAATATGTTTTTTGGATCTCGAAAAAATATATCGTTTGATATGAAAAAATTATAATTTTTTTTAATAAAGATGAATTTTTATTTCATCCAATAAGAACATGACACATAATAAATTTTTTTAAAAAAAGAGAGGATTGCTAGTTGTAAGATATAATCAATATATCATACTCCGTTTTGTAAATTCATTCCTTAAATGATCATCTTTTCACTCATTATACGAAAAAGAAACTCTTTTTGATGTCTAAAGTCATCATAGAAAGTAAAAAGTAGTTACAAAAGTTATCTTTTATTGGCACAAATAAATAAATTAAAAGATCGTCAAAAAAGTATACACAAAAGTGATCACTTGATTTAGTTTGAATACCTATAATATTCTTTGTAATAATGATCTCTTAGAGGACGAAAATAATAACAGAGTCAGAACTTTTATTAAAAGATTTAAGAAATAAAAAATAAACACATAAAAAGTCAAAAATAATTTAACATTTACTATACAAACATTGCTTTTATTTAACCCCCGCGCTTCACGCTAGTTGAAGAGCTTTTATGCATTAAACAAGTGAAGGTTATAATAATCGTTCTCCAAAGTGAAAAGTTCAACTTTTTTGGATTAGTGATAGATGGTCAAAATTAGGGAAAGATTAAGTGAAAATGGTGATTTAATCTTTAATATTAATTGACAATTGCCTCAGTAGAAAATAGAAATATATGAGCAATATAATTAATTAATGCATGTTACCCCATGATTCAAGTGTGAAGATGGCATTTCTCCTAGGATGGGGGAATCAAATTTTCAAAGATGTTGACAAAGAAATAATGAGTGTATATATAAATTAGGCAAAATGAAAAAGAAAAAGGGTATCACATGCTTGCTTTAACACAGTGACATTCATCATTTTTTTAAACTCAATTTTTGTTTATGTTTTAGTAGAAAATATGGAGTAACCCTTTTATTGATTGAAAAAGAAAGATTTAGAGTTCATTTTTCAGATAATTATTTAATTAATAGTTATTATCTCAAAAAATTATTTTTTCATTAAAGAAAACTGAAATTAGGAAGAAATGTGACTTTTTTAAATAATAACTATAGATGAGTGACTATTTAAGAAGTCAGTTCCAAAGATTAGTGATTCCACGTGTTGAGTTGAAAGAGAGATATATGGGAGCATAGAATAGATAAAAAAGAACGATTGTTAAAACGAGCTTAAATTTAATCATGATACTATATGAAAAAAATATAAGGATTTAATTCAGTCGAGATATTAAGATAGTACGTGGAGTACTAGACTAGAACCCCTATAAATCCGTGTGAAATTTGTATACAATCAATGGATATGTAGAGTTTTAAGCAATTAAGATATCGAAAATTCGGACTTGATAATGAAAAAATCTTTTGTAGGAAATGCTTTTTTCTTTAATAAACTCTATGTAACACTAATATAGATTAATCGAACAAGTGAATTTTAAATACAGGGATGGCTAAGGGAGTCATGTGGTAGACCACTTTTGAGTAAATTGTAAATGTTCTTTAACAGATCCCAATGTTTTATCAGAATTGGTATAAATACTGGCACAAAATACATTAGAAGGTTGGTTAATTTAACAGACAGGGTCCAACTAACATTTCTTTAGTCATTATAGATGGAATAAAGAAAAAGAGGTAGTAACATGCATGACCATCATTTAAATAAAGTAATCAATGATAATACATAAACGTGTCTTTTAATTTGACCTCATCAGATATTTATGTCCTCCAACTTTGAGTGTACACAAGTAGACGTACACTTAAACTTATATATATAAAATTGAACAAGTAGATATACGCGTTCTACTTGATATCCTACATAGAACGTCCTACATGCATAATGTTGGAGGACATAAATGTTAGCTCAGACCAAGTTAAAAGGGCATGTCTATGTATATGCTTGGAGAAATGAATTATGTCAACATGCTTTTCAATGTTTTCATTGTCTCAATCCAAAGAAAGAATATAAAAGTAATTTGAAGAATCCAACCTATCTTCTAATTCCCTCTATATAAAATCTCCTTATAAAAAAGAGCACCCCCTTTATCTCTATACTGACAAAAAACCAAGAGAAATGGACAATAAGTTTCATTTTTTTCATTATCTCCATTTCTTCTTGCTTCTATCTTCATCTTGCTTTTCACTTGTTGCCTTCTCTTGGATTCCATATAATGAAAACAAGAACTATGAAGGCTCCTCTGATCTTGTTAATCTTGAATACCATATGGGACCTGTTCTTTCTTCTCCTATTAAACTTTATGTGATATGGTATGGCCATTGGAACCCTTCTCATCAAGCCACAATTAGAGACTTTCTTAACTCCTTTTCATCTTCTTATGCACCTCATCCTTCTGTAGCTGATTGGTGGCGAACCGTTCGTCTTTACACAGATCAAACTGGCCAAAACATCTCAACTATTTCACTTTCTGGTGAATTCTTTGACTATAAGTACTCACAAGGGAAGTACCTTAGCAGATTATCAATGCAATATGTGATCAAGAATGCAGTAAGATCATACCGTGAATCTATACCGTTAAATTATAAGAATGGAGTTTACTTAGTGTTAACATCTTATGATGTTCAAGTTCAAGAATTTTGTAGGGCTGTATGTGGTTTCCATTACTTTACATTTCCATCAATTCTTGGAGTGACAGTCCCTTATGCTTGGATTGGTTATAGTGGGAAACAATGTCCTGGTTTCTGTGCTTATCCTTTTGCTTGGCCTAAGAATTCAGGGAAGCCACCACCAAACACAAGAAATGGAGGAAACAACTTAATGGGGGCGCCAAATGGTGATCCGGGAGTCGATGGGATGATCAGTGTGATAGCTCATGAGCTAGCTGAGGTCTCTAGTAACCCTCTTGTGAATGCTTGGTATGCTGGGGATAATCCTATGTCACCTACTGAGATTGCTGATTTGTGTTTGGGAGTTTATGGTACTGGTGCTGGTGGTGGATATGTTGGACAAGTTTATAAGGATTTTCGGGGGAATGGTTTCAATTTACATGGTGTGAAAGGGAGAAAGTTTCTTGTTCAATGGGTCTGGAATCCACTCAGGAGAAGATGCTTTGGTCCTAATGCCATGGATTAGGCAAGTAGAAGGATGTTTGTCTTGTACAGAGTTGTTTTCAACTTTAATTATGCCTTTTTAGTATATCGCGTTATGTAATTTCTTTTGTTTCCCATAATGTATGCTTCAGAAAATAATCGCGTTATTGTTATTGTCATTCTGGCCTATGCATTAATTAGCAGGAAAGAATAATTTGGTGTACCTTAAAGTAAGTTTCTGTTGCTGGATATGCTTTTAGATATTCAAGGCTGCAGTGTATATCAACAGTGACAAGAAAAGTATCAATATTACAGAAAGGCTAGCAATGATAACTTGAAGATGACATGATGCAATGCTTTTGAAAAACAACTGCTTTATTTTTCAATGAAAATTATGAGTAATTACCTGTGAAATGTTCTGCTAATAGATTACCATTTTACAATCTGTATACTGCATGCTTCGTTCATCATAACATTTCTCGAGTCCTGCTTTTGGAGATAACAAACTTGTTCAATAGAGGCAAAACAAGTCTAGGAAAACAATTTGACTGTGATGGAAGTATAAAGGCGACTAGTTAACAAATAAACAAAACAGGCCTATTAGACATAACAAAAAGTGAAGTTTCTGGCTTAAAATCCACACTTCAATGTTTAGCTTGTGACCAATTGAAGTCGTACCTTCTTGAGTCCCAAAAGAGCTTCTTTCACGTTGACTCTAGCATCTCGTGACACTGAAGTGCAGCTTAAAGCCAGTTCCATGACAGAAATAAAGCATTGCATCTTTGCATGTAGAGGTTCTTCTTTTTGGCTTATCAAATCTGCATCAACAATTTGTGCAACTCGGGTAGGAAGTGAGTCGTTTACCCAATGTTTTAGGATCAAATCCCCTGTAAACATTTCATCATTAGGCCTCCTCCTTGTGAATGCTTCCATCATCACAATACCAAAGCTGTACACGTCACAACTCGTTGATACAAGTCCATCTTGTCCATACTCTACTATGACATGTGAGAAATCATCAGTTCAAAGTATTTCATACTAGATTGACAGATGAATCATTATGCAAGAAAGATAAAGGCAAGAGAAGAAGTTTAATGTATCTGGCGCGATGTATCCAATGGTTCCAATAGTCTTAGTTAGTCTAAAACTATCTTCTACACCTAACAGTTTTGCTATCCCAAAATCAATTAAATGGCCAACCATGTTTTTTGATCTAGCAAAATGTTGCTAGGCTTCAAATCACAATGCACCACTGGCTCCGAATAGCCTTTATGGAGATAGTCTAAAGCAGATGCTACATCGATCATTATGTCCAACCTCTGCATGTCTAAGAATAAGTCATGAGAGTGTAACCATTTGTCAACGGTGCCATTTGGCATGTACTCCAATATTAAGGCCTTGAAGTTAGGGATGGAACAAGAAGTTATGACTTTTGACAGGTTCCAATGGCGAAGGTTGTGTAAGATCTCACATTCTGTGTCAAAGCTCTTGAATGCACCTTCAAGTTCCAGTTTGAATACCTTTACTGCGAATATTGCCTCATCCTTTACCCCTTTGTACACCTTGCTAGAACTGCCAGTACCGAGCAAATTGTCCTCGTTGAATCCATTGGTTGCTTGTTGAAGTTCATAATAGGGAACTCTTTCATGGGCTCTCATGGATGATACCTCAGTTGATCCCAGTAGTTCATTTCTTTTTCTTCTTCTTAAAATCAGAAATCCAACAGCTGAAGCAACAATTACTGATGTTATTCCCAAAAGACTATACAGAACAAAGTAAAGTACTCTTTTTCTCCCGGTCCTCCGATGAGATTTGCCTTGGCAAGGAGGCACTTGGAACCTTAATATGCCACATAATGCATTATTGGACAGAAATAACTGATTGGTGAGTTTATTGAAGGAAACATTAAGGTATTCAAGAGCTTCTATGGACTTTGGTATGTCTCCTGACAAGTTGTTATGACTCAAAACCAAGAATTCCAAGATCAACAACTTCCGAAAAGACTCAGGAATGGGACCATCTAGTCTGTTGTGTGATCGATCAATTTCTGTAGACTTCCCATACTGCTAGGGATCATGCCCGAAAAGTTATTGCATGACAAATCAATGTAAGTGACAGCCTTCAGATTTCCAATTTGAGGGGATAGAACACCAGAATTTGAATTTGATGTAGCAAACAAAAAGTATCAATAGATCTTGAAGGCTCTCAGGTAAACTGGAGTTCAATCTGTTGGAAGATATATAAAGATTCCTCAAATTTTGTAAATGACAAATTTCATCCGGTATAGTCCCGCTTATCATGTTACTTTGTATAAAAATAGCAAATTCACTAAACTTAATTAATTTACACAAAACGTATTATTAATCTGCTCAAAAAGAATAATATAATTAGTCACACAATGTCATAGATTAGATTCCATAATTAAAACTGAAAAGATTTTTTTTAAAAAAAATAAAAATTAACGTGTAGAGGGAAGTAAAAACATATTACAATGAAAGAAAAAAAGATAGTGTTATATCATTCATTTTTGAAATTATTATAATAATTGACCGTTACCTCTTTTCATACAAAACTCTCTTCTCTTCTCTTTTCTTCACAAATCACAAACACAGACAGAGGCTCTTTTCATGGCTGAATTTCTCTCTTCTGCACCACAACGCCATAAGAATGGTGAATTTTCCAATTCCCCTCTCAGTAAATATCCCAATTCCCCATTCAATTTTACTTCTTTTTGGATAAAAAATAAACAACTGTTTGTGTGTGTGTATGCAGCAGACAATAACGGCGAAGATGAAGGTGGTGAGGAGTGAAATTGCTGCGAAACAAGTGGTTGTGATCGAGGAAAATGAGGAGATACATTGGTATGCTTCTTGAATTTCGTCCGGAGGACACAGGTACTTTTTCCTCTGACTTAGGGTTTGGGGGTTTAGTTGATTGATGGATTCTTTGAATAATTTACATGAAATCAACTGGTAGGAATAGGGAAGTAGGTTTATCAGTTGATGGATCATTTAGCGCTTTGCTTCAAGATTATAGCTCAATATTGTTTACAGTTTACCACCGAGATGGCTCAAGAGGGTTTGGGGGTTTAGTTGATTGATGAATTGTTTGAAATAAACTGGTAGGAATTGGTAATTAGGTTTATCAGTTTATGGATCATGTAGCGCTTTTCTTCAAGATTATCTACCTTAATCTCGTAACTATTGTTCCAACCTGAAATTATGTAGGAAATTAAGTTAGATGATTTGGAAATTTGAACAGTAGCTGCAAGTATAGCAATGTTAAGAGAGATCCAAATTTTGTATAGTAGAGAAGCAAAGTAAAAACTCACAACTTGAGTTGGAAACTAAATTTTGATCGATTTAACAATCACTGATATCTTACTAATACAAGATACAATAAGCGAATTTAACAAGCACTTCTAATATCGACGCATGATCAGAGGGAGTGTTCCCAAACATACAAATAGGAGCATCATATAGGTGTATTAGACTGGCCAAATCAATAGTCTACATATTGTTTGGTCAAAATGAGTTGATATATGTAGAATAAACAATTGACCATAACTCTAACCCACTTAACTCAAAAGCAATCATTTTATTTCTTCTTTTGTAATTTATTTGTTGTGCTGGGATTGTAAAATCTATAAGATAGAGATGACCCTCTCACAAATATTTACCTCAAAACAACCCACTAAGTCAGACTGGCTTATAATTTCACAGGCTAAATTTGGCACCCCTATGTAAAAACATGACCTAAGGGTCTTTTAAATTCTTAACGGTAGATCAATGTGATGTGACAAGCTACATTAGGCGCTCATGAGCAATAAGACTGCTCATAATAAACTTACCTGCATCAACTCCTAATCAAACAAATATCTGCTCCATACTGCTTGGGGAGAGAAAACAAAAAGATCATACACCATGGAACTTGATGTGGTGCAACCCAGACATGTTACTTTGACAGACAAGACACATACTGAATACATTTGAAACAAAGATAAAAGACCAGGATAAACAGGCTTCATTAACCCTGTTTTGAAGACCTAAAACAATCCATATGTAGAGTAAGGTTTGTGTTTCCCAGTTCCAATTTGGGAGATTATGTATGTTGTTGTTGTAAAATAATAATCAAGGCACATGATGACGTCAGTGAAGAAACAATGGGACAAATGACTACATAAGGGATGAAGTGCCACAGTCAAACATTGATTTTTATCATAGATAATTAGATAATTGTGCATATTGCAATGCAATAGTATACACCAACAACTACCAATAGTAATTCTCATGATTGATGCAACATATGAGATTGTTCTTTTTCATTTTTCCCTTTGGTTTGTGATTCTTCGACCTAAATCAGTCTAGACATGCATCTGTAAAACACATTTAGACAACTATGGTTTGGCTAGATTTTCAGGTAAAGTTGATATTTTGGGGCTTGTTTAGGTCTCTTTTGCTCTTTAGTGTATGCACACAAGAATTAAAAAAAGAAATCTGGCCTTGCATGTTGAGTCAATCATTTAGCTTGAAACAGAGAATTTTGTTTTACTTCACTGCCTCAAACACCGGGATCGATGAATGGAAAATCTCTTGTGAAGATTATCATCTATCTTAATGTTTTAACTATTGTTCCTTGTTCACCAGTCTGAAAATTTGTGCATATAACCTCTGACTTAGGGTTGTGGTGGCTTAGTTGATTGATCAATTTGATTGAATAAATTGTGAACTCTCTCTTGTTATTACTATTTGGAATTTTGCTTTACTTCAAACATAGCCTAAACATCTCCTCCCCAAAAAAATTTCAACAACTCATTGATGCAATTGCTGATTGGCCTGCAATCCACCCAAAACCTTTTTATCATTTATACTTTAGATTGCTATCTAAGAGTACTACTTTTCCCATTCCTGATGTCCGCATTAATAGCATCAGATTTTTTTTATCTGCAACGCTTGAATCTGAAAGAGGCAGAGGGGTGGTTAGCTCTGTTTTTATTCATTGATCCCTTACCCAACACAATCAGCAAAGATTTTTGATGATTTTTTGAGTTTGATTGCTCAACATAGATTACAATCCTTCCAATTTCCCAGATCATTTTAAATGTGAGAAATTCCTTAGGGAAGTCTTATGCTCGTTCCTTGATTTCTGTTCCTTTTCTAATCTTCTTTTTCTTAATTAATTTGTGAAGCTACTCAAATCCAAATGCAAAGGATCTTCAAGATTAATGGGATAAAACAAGACCTTGGTTCATTGTGAAAGGTTTGACTGCCCAACTCAGTTTTTGTTCTTGTCTTATTTTTGATACAAATCTGTCGCCCCGGGGTCGTGGGGGGCGAAGGGCGACCCCAAGGCAAGCGCGTGCCCCGGGGTCGTGGTGTACGGGGCACGCGCGTGCCCCGGGGTCGTGGGCGTCGTGGGGGGCGGGGGACGACTTGGAGAAATTTAAAAATGTGATAGTAGTGTCAAAGAAAGAAGTTTTTAACTGACAGAATATTTGATTGGTATCATACATAACATAGTCAAGTTTCAACCAGCTAGGGGATGAACGAATTGATGCAAATATGCCAAAGAAATGAATGGACTGTTGACTCAGTCTCACTAATACATGAACTTGTAGTACTAAAAATAATGAAAGATATATATACACATAATCTAATGTTCCTAATATTAGTACTGATGAAGCTGCTTTTCTTGAATTAAAATCTCACATTTCTTTTAGTCCTAACATCTTAGCAACCAACTGGTCTTCTTCCACCCCTGTTTGCTAACACTTTCACCTCCCGACACCATCGAGTCACAGCTTTAGACATTTCTAGTATGCAACTTCATGGTACCATTCCTCCACTCCTTGTAAACAGATTTCATGGGAATTTGCCCCAAGAGTTGGCTCATTTGCAGAGGTTGAGATTGATTGATATCGCAAACAATAACTTCACTGGTGCCATTCCATCATTTTTAAGTTTGCTAATAGACCTTCGCATTTTGCACCTGTGGAGCAATCAATTTTCAGGAAAAATCCCATCTTCCCTTTCCAGTCTAACAAAGCTGGAAGTGTTGACAATAGCGAGAAATTTCCTCGAAGGAGAGATCCCTCGAGAACTTGGTAATCTTCATTACATGACTGCTTTAAACCTGGAAAGTAACCATACTGGCTCTATACCACCATCAATATTACAGGTGAGCTTCCAACAACTATATGTGACCATCTGTCAAACTTGGAAGGGCTTTACCTCTCAGAAAACATCCTAGGTGGCATCATTCCACCAAACTTTGAAAAATGCAAAAAGCTCAAATTCTTGTCATTGTCTGAAAACAAGTTCACTGGAACTATACCGAGGGAGGTAGGCAACATAACAAATCTTGCAGGATTATTTATAATTTATACATTGGATTGCTGCACTTCAAAGGTAGTATATTACCTCTCCTAGCAAGAAATTTTAATTTTTTCAATTTAGTACTCATATATATATTATATATATATATTATATATTTCTCCACTTGACAGGAGAGATACTACAAGTGGATCTAGGTAATCTTAAGAAACTACAGATTCTGTCATCCCCACAAGCATTTTCAACATGTCAAGCGCTGAGGGTAGTCATACTTGACGAAAACATGTTTTCAGGTAATCTACCAGCAGATTTAGGCAGTGGGATCTCCAGCCTAGAAACATTGATTTGTGCAAACAACAATCTGAGTGGATTTATATCTGCTACTATCTCAAATGCTTCAAGACTCGGTATGATTGATCTTTCAATCAACAACAGTTCACAGGTCCAATTCCTCAATCACCTGGTAACTTAGAAAACCTTGAGGTTTTGAACCTGCAGATGAACAATTTTGTCAGCGATTCAGCATTGAGCTACCTCTCATCTTTGACACACTGTAGGAAACAGTACTCAACTTTGGTAAGAATCCCTTGGAAGGCTTTTTCCCTGCATCCATTGGAAATTGGTAATCTTACCGGGGTGATAAGGATAAATTTTTCACAAAATAATTTGACTGGACATATTCCAAAAACTATCCAAGGCATGCTGAACCTTCAAGAATTTTACCTAGAGAGCAACAAGATAGAAGGAATCATACCAGATGTTATCTGCAATTTAAAGAAACTTGGAGCATTATACTTGTCAGGTAATCAATTTTCTGGTCGCGTGCCACCTTGCTTAGGAAAAGTTACCATGATTGTAGAGTATGGACAAGAAATAGTATCCACGAGCTGTGATGTTTATAGTTCCGGCATCCTGATGATGGAGACGTTTACAAGAATCAGACCAGGTGATGAAAGATTCACTGGAGACTTGAGCATACGACGTTGGGTTAGTGATTCTTTTCCAAATGAGATTCAGAAGGTGGTGGATGCTAATTTGGTACAGCTAGGGGATGAACAAATTGACGCAAAGATAGAGTGTCTGTAAACTATGATTCAAAAATGGGGCTTTCTACTCAAGAATGCACGAGCTTAACTTTAATCTTAAATAGAGTAATAACAAACAATCCTCTGTAAACTATGATTTAAACCAAGAGTGTTTTTTGGTTTAGAGGTAAGGTCTCTGTACACTTTATTATCTCAAGACCCCACTCTACGAGACTACTGGATACGTTAGGATTATCTTGACTTTGTTTCACTTCTACATTTTCTTCCTGCCTACCTACACTTACTGAAATTTTGGCTCTTAATGGATTATCTGGAGAAATAGAAACTCACTACTTTTGTGCGTAGCAGATCAAAACAAAGCAGTGTTGAATAAATTGAAGTTGAAGCATACCAGAAGGGACTTAAAACCTTACCAGATATTTTATTAAAACCATAGATGCATCCCAAACAGTAGTGCTTCGAATTAGGATCTCAAGGTTGACATATTCCAAAAACCATCCAAGGCAAATCGATGCAGTGTTTGTCATCTATCATAAAAATTAGCTTTGAGTTGCACTGTAGTGACACCTGTTGCAATGGAAGATGCTCTTTTAACGCTCAGAAAGATCAGACTCCAGTTTGTCAATAGTCTCCGCTAGTAGAATTAGACTGTTGTGTTTTACTAAGTGTGAAAAATTAAAGTGAAAGTTGTGGTAGTCAGCCAACTAAGCTACTTAGATTTCCGATGTTTTACTGAGTGTGAAATCAAATGTTTCTCGTTGACATCCATTTATTACAGAATTAAGTTAAATATGACGCTATTAACATATCAACTTGGCAATACACATGACATGAAAAATCACATTTACGCCGCAATCTTTTTCAAGCACATAATTTTTCTTTGTTACATCGATATTTTCCATCACGATCTATATAAAATTTTAAATAATAAATTTAATATAGCATTCAGAATTTTTTCAAATCTGTATAAATTTCAAATAATATTTAGAAAAATAATCAAATTTTAGTATCATCACTTATTTGAGAAAAGAAGTTACACGACATAATTTTGAAATACGTATACGTATGGATTGAATTTTTGTCATATCCAGTCAGATCCTACTAAGTGATTTTGGTGTTTAATATCTACAGAAAATCATATAGAATTCTCACTTATTTAGAAAAAAAGTTACTCTGCATAATTTTGAAATACAGAGAGGTGTCCGTTGGAATTTTATCTTATCCAGTCAAGTCCTACTAAGTAATTATATTAGTTATTTTTCCTATTTTAGTGTATAATATCTATAAAAAAAATCATCCAAATATGAAATGTACATAAATTAAAATGACAAGTGGTTCACTATATAAGTATGACAACAATGGAAAAATTTATATGTCTTTCCATAGAAAATTAAGAACTACAATCATCCCTTTCTCCTTCAGAATAAAAAGTGTGAGTTCCTTTTCTGTTCATAGATAGTTTACTAATTCTATATATTTGTGTTTATACATCATTAATTATGATCTTGTGATTAATGAACTTGTTTACACAGGATTTTATTTTTATATACACTGATAAACATGGATAAAGCTTCAAAGAGTTACATGGATAGTGATAATCTTTATTCCTCTACTATACCATGGGCCAATGAATTTGATTATGGCGAAGAAGTAGAGTTGTCAAAAATACTTGATATGCCTCAAGAGCATCATGCAAACACCTCAGAATTACCTAATGTTGTTCCTACGAATACCACCAACATCTCTAGTCATTCATCAATGGATAAGAATTCTTCGAGAATAAGTCCTATTACCCTTGATGACGATGATGACTATTCAATATCGTACATATATTCCATGAGATTGAAAAATGAAGAAAATCCTAAAAATTTTATCCCTATACCTATTGTTATGGAGAAACAAGGTGATCAAACTACAAATGACATGATCCTCCAACAACCTCTACCAAAAATCCCAATTATGGAGAGATTGGAAAGAGAGTCGTCCTTGAAATCAAAGTTCACGACTAATCATCCTATGAGAACTTCAACTGATTCTTGTAAAGAGCAAGAAAAGAATAAGACAAATGACATGTCACATATTCTAACTCTGGAGAAACTAAAAAGTCATTTGATCAAGTCCAAGTTGATGGTTGGTCAAGAAAATGGAACTAGCAGTAGCAATGTAGGTCCTATAAGAAGGTCACCTAATAGGGAAAGTGCAAGATACCAACCATTTGGGAAAGAAATTGATCAAAACAATCAAGGATCATCATATAGGCATGTTAATTTCATTAATATATTAATTAGTAATGCTCAATATATATAACTTCTCTCATCTTGTTAATGATATTTTTCAGGATTGGTCAAAACAATTCAGAGTCGATCTTCAAGAGACCACAAAATTCCAATGAATATATGCAGGGTTGGAACACACAAGACAGTCACTTCAATAACACAACCAACTGGCCTTTGGGTCCTTTTCACTAATTTGAGAGAGATTTCTATGTGTGTATTTATTTTAAATGCCTAGTACATAAATAAGGCCTTGTAATTTTGATTTCTTTATTTTTAAATTTAGATCAATGTTTTGTTGCCTCAAAATACAATGTGTATCAGTGCTCTTCAGTGACATCTCTGTTATAAAAATGATTGATATAGGTCATGCTGTATATATGTCTTTGGAACAAAAATATGGAATCACCAAAATAAGGTGGCTTCTATAAATATTTATCCTTTTATGTTTGATCATTCAGTTTAGAGTTAGTTTTTGTTATATCAAGTCAAATCCTATATATTAGGTGATTATTAATAATTTTTCTATTTAGTGTATAATATCTATAGAAATTTCGGTCATCGATCCCATTAGATATGTTAATTTTAAAATTTCATCCAAATATGAAATCTACATAATTAAAATGACAAGTGTCTCAACATATAAGCAAGACCACAATGAAAAATTTTATGGTCATTTGTCAAATTCTTGTATGGGATATTATTAGGTTTCCATCCATTGTTTTATCTGCAGGAGGCTAGGCTCCCAACTTCGGACTTCAAGTTTGGCCTTCGAATGACAACTGTGATTTTTCTTAAGAGTTGTGACTTTCATCGAGCATCTTTTCGGGGCGATTCTTTTTTAAACTTGCATATTTTTTTGAGATCTACGCGGTAGATCTAATTCATTTAACCGATTTAACTTTTGTTTTTTTCTTATAATTTTATTCTATATATGGCCAAAAACCGATAACCGTAAAACTATAAGTCATATGACAGTGTGTGGTGTTTTTCGCGTAGATATCGAAAAAATAATTAGGTTTGAAAATAAAATCGGCTCGATAGGACATCGAATGCGCGTTTTATGTTCGTTTGAAGTTCAAATTTTCACAAGTACCCCTTTAAAGTCACATTTCGTGAAACTTCAAATGGCCAAAGATTTTTCCTCGAGCATCTTTTGGAGGCGATTCTTTTTTTTAAAATTTCTTATTTTTTTTGAGATATACACGGTAGACCCAATGCTTTTGACCGATTTGACTTTTTTTTCCTTATAATTTTGCTTCATATATGATCAAAACCCGATAAACGTAAAACTATAAGTCCTATCGCAGTGCATGGTGTTTTTTTGCATATATATATATATATATATATATATATATATATATATATATATATATATATAAAAACAGGTTGAAAAAAATTTGGCTCGATCGGGCATCGGATGCGCGTTTTATATCTGTTTGAAGTTCAAATTTTCACTCTTTAAATTCACATTTCGTGAAACTTCAAATTGCCGTAGATTTTTCCTCGAGCTTCTTTTGGGGGCAATTCTTTTTTTAAACCTGCTTATTTTTTTGAGATCTACGCGGTAGACCCAATTCCTTTGACCGATTTGACTTTTGTTTTTTCCTTATAATTTTACCCTATATAATGTCAAAAATCGATAAACGTAAAACTATAAGTCCTATGGCAGTGCGTGGTGTTTTATCGCGTACATATAAAAAAAATCAGGTTGGTAAAAAAATTAGCTCGATCAGACATCGGATGTGCGTTTTATGTCCGTTTAAAGTTCAAATTTTCGCAAGTACCCCTTTAAAGTTATATTTTGTGAAACTTCAAATGATCGTAGATTTTTCCTCGAGCATCTTTTGGGGGTGATTCTTTTTTAAAACTTGCTTATTTTTTTAGATCTACGTGATAGACCCAATCCATTTTACCGATTTGACTTTCATTTCTTCCTTATAATTTGCCCTATATATGGTCAAAAACCGATAAACGTACATCTATAAGTCCAATGGCAGTGCATGGTATTTTTTCGCGTAGATATCAAAAAAAATAATCTTGTTGAAAAAAAATTGGCTCGATCGGACATCGGATGCGCGTTTTATGTCCGTTTGAAGTTCAAATTTTCACAAGTACCCCCATTTAAAGTCATATTTCGTGAATTTCAAATGGCCGTAGATTTTTCCTCGAGCATCTTTTGGGTGCAATTCTTTTTTTAAACTATCTTATTTTTTTGAGATCTACGCGGTAGACTCAATCTCTTTGATCGATTTGACTTTCATTTTTTTCTTATAATTCTGCCTTATATGGTCAAAAACCGA